CAAAGAACTGCCTTGTCGGAACTTCTGTCGTTATCTTTTTCCACTAACTTGATTGATCAACTTATTGGATTTGTACTCCTCACAATGGTCACATCTGTCTTTCTTGGGAGTGTGGAAACCCAAATTAAATTCCAAATTAAATATGTTTTTATATGTATGATATTTTTCTGGAATTACATCTGTAGTATTACAAGTTAAAACATAAAGCTCATACATTTTTGCTATCGACAAACATGGATCAAGGTATTGTCTTTTAACAGAAGACCTACAATAATGGGAGTCAATTCGAGGAAATGAATTTATATGGTTTCTGATTCTGTCTTTAGACTCATCTGATATTTTCCTCTTAACATGTCTTCCTCTTTTGTCCTCAAACTGTGGAGACTTTTTATAAAAAAAACCACTGAATCCTACGGCCACTTATATCTAAGGTTGTAAGAAAAAACTCTTTACAAACACGAATTTTACCACACTCCTTAGGCATATGATACTTGTATGTAAATTGTTTCCTTGAAATTTCTTTGTTTGTTCGCTTCCTTTCTTTCTTTAACTTTTCAATATTATTTCCATAAAACGCATTTTTTTCGGAATCGCTTTATGACCAAAAAGTTTAAAAAATCTCTTTCCTTTCAGTTTCTGATATATTTTTACTACATTTAAATCTGCATCCACCTTTACAGTCCTTCGTTCCTTTCTTAACTTCTCTCTTTCGCTGTGTATTACCTCTAGTATTTATATATTCCATACCTGACTGACGTCTTCTTTTCCTAAGATTTTGTTTCCATAATTCAGATTGTCTTTTCCTTTTTCTACCTCTCATCGTTTCATCATTTGCATTTGTATCACAACTTGTTTCTACATTTTGTTCTTCTGTTGTGTCTTCATTTTGCTCTTCTGTTTTTTCTACATTTTGTTTCCTTGTTGTATTGTTACCATTACCTTCACCTTGATGACCTGAGACTTCATCAATTTCTTCCGCATTTCTTGAAACTATGGTTTTATTTTCATTAGGTTATGCTATTGCAGTATATATAATGTTATCAGTTGAATCACTTTGCAATTCATTAGAACATGTAGAACTGGTTGTAGGATTTAGAATCTGTACATTTGCATAAATATGTTCAGTGTTATGTTCCTCATTTAAATCAAAACTTCTGTTAATATCGGTTTCAGATATATTGTTTACAACTGAATCTGTAAACTGAAAATTGTGATTTTCATCGACTATTATAATAGTGCAGTGGTCATCAGTGTTTTGAATTATAGAAGCTAATTCTTGATCATTGGATACTGTGTAAATCTCTTCCGAATTATTGTTATTAGAATCCATTGTTAATTATTAAATATTGGTTTATATATGTGATAGGAAAGGTCTGTGTAATTAAAGTGTATCTCCCTGTGTACGTCCTTTTCATTCACAGATGAATCAAGACTAAGGTATATAGACATAAGTGTCCAGTAACACTGATCAAGAATTGATGTCACTTCAAAAAATTTCAAAAATATACCACATATATCTAAAATTTTTAATTGTGGTATACACGAAACAATATCTTTGATTGTCTTAGGGTTTACTTTATTAAATGAGAGGTATAAGTTTTGAAGTTTATGACACTGCGATACTACATGAAAATCACAGTCATTCAGATTATCACACTCTGAAAGATCAAGAATTTCAAGATTTGGTAGGTACTGTAGAAAGCATGTGCTTGATATTGAAGTTCTAGTTAAATTTAACCAGGTGAGTTTTCTTGCACAGCTCAAATTTGATATAAAACTATAATCTAACACAGAAAGACGGCCTGTGTAAGTACAATATCCAATATTGAAAACCCTGAAGCTCTTTGAGTGTCTAAATATGTAAGGTAAGTCTTCCTCCTTTATTATTTGAGGCCAATAAAATTCAAATACTCTCCACAAGACAGGTGTCGATTTAATTAGGTGGTAAAATCTTTTACAAACTCTATTTACTACAAGCACGAGATCTTCTAGATCTAAGAAGAAAAATATCCTTATCAGAGGAACATCAGGTAGGTTTAAGATTGGCAGCAAATGACAGTCATCCCTGTAAATAATCAAAATGTATAATCAATTCTTAATTGGTGTTTTTGTAAAAAAAAAAAGAAAGATTATAATGATGTATCTCCAAATTAACTTGGAAAATGAAAGTTTTAAAATGTTGTATCTCCATATATCATGCTTTATACTTTAATCTCTTTTTTTTTCTTCAGAAATATGTTTATATCACTTAGTTAATACACATTTAAACACTAATATTTCATTATAAGAATGATTTTAAGAAAAAGAATTGAATTAAAAAGCTAAAATATAACTTACTTTTCTGTCATGCTTCAAACTTTCTCCATTTACTAGCTTATGTCATGTAACCCGAATCCAAACATTTTCATTGGATAACACATAGATCAGTATAACTTTTTCAAATATTAAAGATGTGGAGATAGATCATTCTAAAAGTATTGTATATGGCCTAAACGGGGCAAGATTCAGAGATATGGATGTATAGGGAGATAGATCATTACACGAGGATGCTAGTAGTACCAATAAGTCAATTTATGAAAAAAATGGACATACATCACTATAATATTCACACGACGATATATCCACATGGTTATCAAGACATGTTCCAACATATGCCTTCAGTTTTGTCGTTACTTTAATTGTCATCCACCAGTAAGCTTAATCTAGTAAAGGAGTATTTATTCATCTTGAATCGCTATAGACCACTACTGACCGGCCCGTCTTTTTTTGTATGACCAAAACACAATGTCCATGCGCAATAATAAAAAAAATTGTACAATTTGTAATTATAGACGTTTTCATATTCAATTTTTAACAAGATAAATGTTAGACATTTTTTTTTTTTTTTATTTAACGCTCTAAACGAAACAAATACATGGAAAGATGATAAATTGCTTCTAATAATTATAGACAATGATGAAAACAGACTGTATTGGATGATTGACGATGGTGATATGCAATCAGCTAAACATGATGGCTCTGATGTTAAAACAATCCTTTCAACAAATGTTTCAATAAGCGACTGTGCTATCAGTGTCTTTGGTGGCTACGTTTACTATGCTTATGGTAGTCAGTTATTACTGATGACTAAAGCACAAGGAACCGAAACTGTTTTGAGTAACCATACAAGCAGGATTGACAGTATATTTGTGTTTAAATCCGGTATGTGAATATAATGATCATATATCAAATTTGGGCATCACCAGTGCATCGATGATCAAATCTCATAAATCGACTACGAAGATAAAAATCAACATAACATAAAATAAACTGAGTGAATCGGATGTACTCCAAAAGGAGCAATAATTGGTTCGTCACCGGCTATGAATGCATTTCCCGCCATGTGAGTGCAAGCTTAGTCAAAATAGGGAAAAAAACACAGTCGTTAAACTTACAAAGGACCGGACAACTGTTCTGGTATCTTAAAATCTCACAACGAGAAAAACCTTGTGCGAGTGCGTTGAAACACACTTGAATTAAGACATACAACATTAAGCAGTATCCGCAACCAACTATGCGTTTAAACTTCTTTAATAGATACCATTAAAAAACATTTATGTTTCGAAGAAGCCTATACAACTTTAAGCTTATGTTTTTCAATTTACTTGGCGTTTGGACATGAATACATGCGATCTAAAATAATGGAATCACAGGTGTCACAAAAGTAAATGAATACGCATTTAAAATTTGACAGTTTATTAGTATGTAGCAATTACTGAAATTACATTAAGTAGTCTAGTATTTGTGCTGTTTGTAATTGACATTAATATAAAAAAAGAGATGGTTTATGATTGACCATGAGACAACTTTCAACTAAATACCAAAGGATGTGGATGGTACTAGCAACTTTAGTTCACCGATTTTATTACCGTACAATAACAAAAACCCATACCGTGTAGTAAGCTATATTGTAGAAAAGACTCTTGCAAGACAAAAAGTAAACAATCAAAACGGGGAAAAAACTAGTATGCTCTCTCACCAATACGGAAACGAATATTTATTTTAAGCACACGTTCTCATTTAATTGAAGTATGCACTATTTTTGCCATAAAATTATTAAAACGACTAAAACTGATTAAGTTTGTTAAAATACTATGTTAAACATTGTTTAAGCTAGTGTTGTGTTATTGTATCAAATGTATTTATATATATTGTATGGCTAATTACTTGTTGCTTTTCTGTAATACATTCAAACATTTAAATAAGTAGCTTTTCAGTCATATTTTCTAAATCTGCTGCTTGTGTACTTTCGTTCTAACGTTGCTTTAAATGTCATGCGGGTATATTATTGGTGTTTATTTATTAAGTTCAATATTTTTCACAAAAAACACTAATAACCATTTTGAACACTACTTTATGCATTTACGATAATTAAACTAATGTCTGCTTTTTTGTACCTATTTTCAATTCATTACATAATAGGGTATCTTTTTATCTTATATAATTAAATATCTATAAATATATTCTGATGAATGCTTTAAGATTGAATATTTCGTTTGGTATCTTTTTCGTAAATGTAAATTATTTCAATGATTACGAAAGAGAAATAATTTCAATTCAAATTTGACGATTTTTGTAAAGTTGCAGGGCATACATGTTTTGTTCCAGACGCGTCAAGTCTTATTTAATGTCTTCAATGTTTCATATTATTGTATATCAACAACAAATTAAAGTTATGTCGACAATAGCAATTTAACGCACATTTTTGAAATATTGGTCTGTTATCTTTGTTTAAATGATATTTCTTGCAAAGCTAGTTTAAGAAAAATCCGAAAATGAAAAGGAAAATATAATGAAAATAAATCATTTGAAAAATGTATAAACGCTTTTGTTTTCCGTGTTTTCCTTTTAATGTTTTCTCACTGGAGCAAAAATACTGACTTCAATCACGAAACTGTGCCCATAGAAGACGAATATATTTTGAAGGAAGAAACAACACTAAAATATGGTAATTAAATCTTGGATATTGCGCTATCCTGTTAGACTGTAAAGGTTCTTTATATTCATTAACTTAGGCTTTATTAACTAATGCTTATTTGATTGTTGTTTGATCGTTTCGTCTGTGATTCTTTTGGATGAGTACCATTCGCCAGTTCACAGTTCATTGCAACAATGTGATAAAACATTTAAGTTTTATCGAATATGTTCTCATTCGTGTAACGTCACAGTACCCAAATTGCACCCATGTAGCAAACATAGCAGCGGAAATCTTACAAGCTTTCTTAGATACTTAATAAAACAAAACATCGGTTATTCGATTTTTACGGATGTGAATCTAAGCATAGATGCAAGTAGAGTACTCCTCATTACAGAATCAAAGATCTTTTAGAGTTAGGTTCAAACCCATTTTTCTATAATTCAACATGGATTCAAATTAATTTGGTGAAACTATATAATAGTAAATAAGGATACATCTACAAGATAAAAACAGAATGGAAACTTTTGTCTGGATCATAAATAAATGCAAGTGAAAATACTGTAAAAATAGGTGCAATTTGCGTACCCTTACGTTATACTACATTTGAACTTTTGTTGTGATAATTTGTCATGTCATGCTACTCGCTTGAGGATTTTAGGGCGAACGTGCAGTTGTTAATGTAAAAATCAACGACGACGTCATATGCAAAATAGCGATAAACAGATTATCAAACTAGAGGATGTTTCTCGGCCACATCTCATCTCAGGGCTGTCGACAGTGCATTCATGTACAACTTATGATGTTGTTATATCAAATATTTGTGAAGTTCAGCCACCACTATATTTCCTTGATTTATATAAAAATGAGGAGATGTTGTATGATTGCAAAAATTAAATGAGACAACTATCAACCAGATTTAAAATGAAGTGGTAGTTAGCAATTATAGGCCACTGTAAGGTTTTCAACAATTAAAAAAAAACATACCGTATAGTCAGCTATAAAAGGCCTGACATAAAAAATGATAAACAATTCAAAAGAAAAAACCAATGACCTAATTTATAACAAATATACGAAAAACAAATATGACATACATGAACCAACAACAACATATGTGCTATAGGCTCCTGACTTGAGGCAGGCACATACAGAATGTGGCGGTGTTAAACAGGTTTGTTGGCGCTCAACCCTCCCCATACCCTGGGACAGTGGTTCAACAATATAACATTATTAGAACAAACTGTAAAACATTAACTGCAAGTGGCTTAACTAAAAAATTGACACGCGGTAAAATATAAAACAATAGACATAAGGCACCGAAATAAGAGTACTATTAAGTCACTATGGAATGATTTTTAATTGTCAGTTGTGTCAAACGAATAATGTTAATTCGAAATTCAATATAATAAAACTCTCAAAGCCGGTTGAGAACACGATTAGTCAAGCAGCGACGCAATATTATGTAACATATGAATGCAAGCAAAATCAAAGGAGCTTGACTAAATAATTTATTATCATTAATTATGAAACAAACAAAACATAAACGAACATTCTTTTCACATATTCAGTAGTTACTCGTTCAGTTGTACCATGTTCGTTTAGAATTGTGAAATGTAACTCAATCCAATGCATCCTCTTGAGTATCCCTCTTTGTACAACTTGTGAATGTTAATTTGCATGACATGTGACAATACAAAGTTGAGCACACAAACAAAATGCGTAAAAAAGGTCTAGTTAGTAATTCGGACGATAATAGGGGATTTACAAACTCAAATATTGAAGACAAACTTATTACGTCTTGGTGAACATTAGAAGTAAACCACCAAAGAAACTTAAATACAGATTTATCAAATGACTTTTGAAATCAAACTTAATATCATGAACTAATAGTTTAAAATATTGAAATGAGTAATACGATATGTATGGAATGCGACAATATCACAGTTACGAATCAACACACATATCAACTCAAGCAAATTTTACCTTAGATGAATTTGACTATTTTTTATATCCTTTTTGGTCATGTAGCTCTTCAACTGTTTCGTTCTTATACATCAATATCTTTCAAATGTTCGGCTTTGAGCGTTCCTGATGAAGATAAATCTAGAAAAGCTCTTCTGGCGCATGATATTCATAACATGTTGTTTTCATTTTTTTAACCCTTTCCTATACGTGGATGCAACCACTAGTAAGTTTTCGTAAGGCCAGGAATATTATTTTTATCTGTGATTTTCTGCAGTATATATATTTGACATTGCAAAGATTAAAATAAAAGCAGTACTGGTTGCATCTCCATTTGTAACAATTTTATGTGGACGAAAAGGATTACGCCACACATGTTTGTATTCAGTGTACACATTTAAAAAAAAAACGCCGATTTGATGGATTTTTCTTTATCGTGTTAGTTTAACACAAACCTTCGTTTACCAAAAGCTGAATTTAGCATAAACGAGCTAAACAGCATTTACGTTTTTAATTTGCGTGCTTCATAACCTCGTACCTTTTGTAAATGTTTTTATTGCAGGATCTCCTGTATAATTTAGATATTAATCCTAATTTGTTAAATGTTTGTTTGTTTTGAGATTGTGACACAGTGATGGCTGCTGTACCCATATTTTGACAATGTTACTTATTATGTCTGTTTTTTCACGCATCGTTGTAAATATAATGGAATTTGATGCGACTGTCATACAAGTCAGAGGTATAGCGCTATAAAGCCAGGTTCAATCCAACATTTTCTACATTTGAAAATGCCTGTACCAAGTCCGGAATATGACAGTTGTTGTCCATTAGTTTGATGTGTTTTATCATTTGATTTTGCCATTTGATTAGGGACTTTCCGTTTTGAATTTTCCTCGGAGTTCAGTATTTTTGTGATTTTACTTTTTATAGATATAATTATAGATGTACATTCTACGAGTGTCATAATCTCATGGAATTTTCCAGTTACTTTAGATTATATAGTACGAACAGAACTCAAACTGTATGATAACGATGATTCAATTTTGGTAAATGGTTTTTTATGTTCTAGAGAACATGGTTTATTCTGACCTGAGTACAAACATAAACATAACTTGGACCTCACCAACAGATCGATCAAGTATTGATGTTATTTTTGATACTCTCGTAGACACACAGAAAAACAATTTTGCGAATGAAATTCCAAAAGATAATTCCCAGAAATACAGGTATCTGAATAAAAATGGCTTGAACATTCAGTTTACATTAAAAGACGTTTTAATTTTGGACGTTGGGTTATACAAGTCTGCAACAGCTTCCGACAGTACAGTGATTGAGGGATGTGCCTTGTTAGTGATTACAGGTATATAATATATGTGGTTTCTACTGAAATTCTTTGTCTGCAAAACAACTACATGATCTCATTTGTTTATACATACATAACTATAGTTTAGTACACATCTAATATTACTGTATGCTTCACATTAATTATAAATTCAAAAGTTACTAAAGTCCTTATCCATTAAAACTAGGAATGTCAACCCAATGAGGAAACACTATCTTATACTCGTTGTTTTAATCAAACGATATTTGAGTATACGCTCAGAAAGATATCTAAAAAATGGAAATAATTTATGCACATTTTACATTTATGGTTCGTTGTCTAATGGACGTTACATCACTACGAACTCGGCTGAGGATGCTATAACTGTATTGTAGTAATCTAAATAGTCTTAGGACTTGATAATAAGAATTATATACCATAAGTGATAACTCATTTACTATATAGATATAAGAAGATGTGGTATGAGTGCCAATGAGACAACTCTCCATCCAAGTCAAAATTTATAAAAGTAAACCATTATAGGTCAAAGTATGGTCTTCAACACGGAGCCTTGGCTCACACCGAACAGCAAGCTATAAAGAGCCCCAAAAATTACTAGTGTAAAACCATTCAAACGGGAAAACCAACGGTCTAATCTATATAAAAAACGAGAAACGAGAAACACTTATGAGCCACATCAACAAACGACAACTACTGAACACCAGATTCCTGACTTAGGACAGGTGCAAACAATTGCAGCGGGTTTAAACGTTTTAATGGTACCAAACCTTCGACCTTTTTCTGAAACAATAGTGTAACTTGACAACATAGAAAGACACACTGTACTCATTAAAAAGTTAAAACCATAATTAAATCAATAATTTGATAAGCACATATTGCACATAAATGACAACAAAATCAAACCAGACAAAACAACAGTTACATTTTGGAAAAGAAAACAAATAGAAAGGCTTAATGATAAGATGTCACAGTAGTTTAACAATCAATTAAGAGTCACTTCAGGGTGCGACGATTTTTTGCATTAAGATACGTTTAGTCAAAAGTGTCGGCCTATATAAGATGCTCTGAGGGGTGTTCCTAAGAAAATCAATTTAATGATCAAAATTTTACAGTGTATTAACAGAAAACTGGTTACTTAGTAGTTGAATATCATTTATTCATTCGCTACCCTATTATACCTAGTGATATTTGAGTATTCAAGTACTCGTTGACATTACTAATTAAAACATATTTGAATGATATTGTACCTGCAAACATGTAAATGCAATTCTATTTTATAGAGTTGTTGAAATAGCTTTTGACGTCTGTCTGTACCAAGTCAGGAATATGACAGTTGTTTTCCATTGGTTGATGTGTTTGAGCTTTTGATTTTGCCATTTGATAAGGGATTTTCCGTTTTGAATTTTCCTTCGAGTTCAGTATTTTTGTTATTTTACCCTGTCTGTTAAAAATTGTTATTAAGCAGTACATTTGCCCATGCAAATTGGACAATACTATATTTTTTTACCGTTGAATTTCAGAGCGCCCTAAGAATCCATATTTCATATATGATAAACAACTTTTTGTTGGAAGTACAAGTGTATTTAAGTGCTCATCTGGTGTTAAACGACATCCAACGTATCTTCCTAGCAATTTACCGTACACCTGGTACAAGGCGATACATTAAGCATCTACCCCATTACAAAGTCTGATAAAGGAAAGAATGTAGCATGTACTGTTACTGACGTTAGAATGTAGCATGTACTGTTACTGACGATATAGGGAAAATTTCTGCATCGAGCAATACAGTTAGTTTAGATCCGTACTGTAAGTAGAACCTGATTAAATAAAAATGTGATAAAAGATTAATGTCCTGCATATGAATATGTTTTCGTCATTCTACTTCTTGGTGATTTCTGTTTATTAGTTAGCAAGTTCACATGCTTTATTGGGATAAAGATAAAGAATAAACTAAACTTTGACGTCATGTATTCTTGCTTATAGCCATTGTATTGTTTTGTATTTTTTATTTGTTTATCAAATAATTCAAATGTATCGAAATCAACTTGACTTATGACATCTCTCTTTTTTTCGTAATTTGTTCAAAACGACATGTAGGTACATGCAATATCATTTCTAATTTTGAGATTAACAAAATAAAAATTAAAACAAACAACAGCATAGATATTCAATAACTGTTTTGTGATGTTTCAGATGGTCCTGAATCTATTAGACTTTCAACAGACTCTGGATCAGTCAATGTTGCAAAAGGCAGTCGCTTTACAGTAACTTGCTTCGCAATATGTTATCCCAAATGTTATTTTGTATGATAACATGAATCGAATGGATTGATCTCAGACATGACCAATGACCAAACATACACAATGAACGATGTATCTCAAAGTGATGATGGTATTTATTCATGCGCGGTTACACATCAAAATGATACTGCAAGATTAGGAAGTATTGAAGTAACAATAAATGTTTATGGTAAGTGTTAGTTACAAAGGTTGCAAAACCTTCGGGAATAATTGATAGCAAGTTATGGTTGTAATAATCAGGTTCATTAGCTTTGATGTTGAAAAAGTTTTACCGCATACATTATGTTATCGACCTCGTAAACCTCTGGTCGGGACGTTTCTCAGTAGGCATCATCTTAAGGAACACGTACTGGGCAAATTGAAATATGCAATTCTTTATGTATAGCAATATATGGTAATATTTCTTTTAAATATCGGTGAAAAGTCATATCTTTGATTTTAAAGAAAACTTATATTATGATTTTATGATTGAATGACTTTGTCATTTTTCTGTGTGGATTTCAATTCTACGTTGTGCTGCGCAGCTTATATACTGTGGATTCATTTATTTTCGTGGATATCAATTTTCGTGGATAGAGAAAAAAAGACGTTTCGTGGTATACGTAAATTCGTGGATCGCTGATTACAAAAATAAAAATCAGATACGTAATTCTTGGATTTCTTTTTGATTTAGAAAATCATATAACCTCCTTGGTTTGATCAATAAAAAGATAGGAATCATTGAAAAAGTTTTGAATTGTAAAAATCCTCACTTGGTCATTCTAGGTTAAAGTGTTCATTGAAAACTTCTATTACAATAATGGGCAGAGACAAATTATTTTTTTGTTTTACAATTTATAAATTCTTGTCGGAATTTTATAAGGCATTCAAAACTCTTTGATTGAAAGCTCATTTCCCCAATCACGATATAATTAACAGTCATATAAGTTAAAGGTGTGAAAATAAATGTTCCTGTCATAAACAATATTACCTACGGGCAATACCCCCGTCCTTAATTAATCCTATTGATTTTCAATCACCAGTAAACCTAACTATGACACGGTAATAAACAACTTGCAGTTATTTTTCATGAAGAGTTCTAATCAATTTTAAAAAGTAAACTATCACTGATAGTCGATATATTTATTATTGATTTTATCAAAATACTTGTATCTTATTTCAATAAAAACACGTGTTATGTTACAATGTTTATCGCTCGTCAACACTATACCAGAACTGCATAACATAACCGGAAATAAACATCCAACTCCATACACATTTCCCAGGATTATTCTTCGTTGAATTCTTAAATTCGTGGTTCGCTGTGACCCACGAAACCCACGAAAATTGGTATACCACGAATAAAAATGAATCCACAGTAGCTATTAAATGCAGTATTAAGAATTGTGTAAAGTTATCACTCTAGAGCATATTTTATCGACATTTTTGTCCATCCGAACGTCGTTCAAAAAATATTAAATGCTTTTATTGAAGTTTTAAGTACTTGTACGTAAGATTTTTAGTTTTTCAGTTTTTTCAAGTTCTGCGGATGTCGTTACATACTTACGTATCTTGAATGTTTTCACAGGGCTTGAACTGTCAGATCTAAAATAATTTTCACATATTGCGCATTTACTCGAGAATGTTTGTATCAATTCCCTTACACCTACAAGCTGGTGTTGTAATTGATAAATGTAGGGTCATTTTCAATTGTGAATTTTTACTTGGGTTTCGTTCCAGATTTATAGGACTTTAACTGTGAATGATTTTTCCTATGTCGGATATATTCAGTAGATACTTTTACTATCTCAATCTCACTTCATGCAATTGAGGATCTTTCTGCTTTACTACAACGTTTTTAGGCATTCGCCAATTTTGGGGTCAAATTTGAAGTGCCATTGGTATATTTTTACATCCAAAGACTGACAATGAGACTTGATGGAGCATGCGTAGTAATATATGATTTTAATATTCAGAAACGTACATCAACCCACCTTTTGGTGACATCATCATGACTACTGAGTATGAATTAGTACATGAATAAACGAACTAATAAATAAATTAATTATTAAATATACAAAAGAGGCATAAGACTAGCTTTAAGTCCAAAACAAATTGACAAAAATATTAATGTTGAGTACATTTACGTCAATAGAAAAAAAAAGACGAACTGAGAAATAAAATTTAACAAAACGTTACTGAAACAACTATGGCGTTGTCAGTTTGTAATCGACGTGATATGAGTTTGTATATCCCTTTGATATATTCCCCCTCTTTGTTGAAGAACATGTACTCCTAATGTGACACATATGCTGTATATTAAAGAACAATGAGCATCTTGAACATATCATTGTAAGATAAATTGTTTGAATGATTCAGATCGTTTTTGTTCACGAATTATGATTTATTCCAAAATAAACATTACATATTCTTGCATTTTGGTTTAAAGATTAAAATGTGCTTTACATGTGAAGTGAACAAGGAGTACAACATGAAGAAGTAGTCGTGTAATGTTTTTATACTATTGCACGAGAAAAGGGACCTAGATTGCAAATACACTTTTGAGTTTCTAAGAATCAACATCCCATTAATTCCGTCTATAGAGTAGGTAGTTCATTCAATTGATTGTGTTTTCGATAGTGATAAAGGGATTCAGTATTGACATTTCCTCTGAAAACACATATACTTTCACGACAAATACCACAAAACATTTGTTAGGCCTGTTTTGATTTTAAATAAGGAAAATTGATCTTAATAATTCAAAAGAGATTTTGTGGAGCATTTGGCAGACACATTACAATAACCAGGTATGTTAGAACACTTCTGTGGTTTACGTATCCATTTCTTTGATTGAAGTTTCTTATATTTGGTTGGCATTCCTCAAAATCACAGAACAGGTCTACGATTGTTTAAAGTTGCCTCTGTAGTAAATGTTGTGAAAACGTATGCTGTTTTTTTCAAGGGCAATTTTAATATCCAATTCCTTTATCAATAGTATTCAAAATAAAATCGATTGAAAGAAGTAGACACAAAGCATGATCCTTCATATCATATTGATACGAGATCACTGGGTGATTTTTCAAGCGTGCTTTTTGTATAGCCTTAATAAACAGCTACTTAACAATGAGGTTAATTATATTTCTTTTGATCGAGAAGTTTTTTAGATGACATCATTTACACTGATGTCTAAAAAAAACAAAAAACATTGGAAAATACCGTTTGCTAAAACTCGATGTACGTCACATTTTTCTGTACACTTGTTCAATATTATGCTAATGCTTTCCTGATAATTTTCTGTGTATATTTTTATGTATTTTAACTGTAAATTAACCTATATTTATATTTATTTCTACAACATGTATTATATACATTGAATTTAAAATGCCAAAATAGAAAATCCTATGCATATCATTGTTTTACATAACATATAAACGTAGTCTTTTATATGATTTAAATTTGGACTGATTTATTTGTAATTTTACTAGAAAGAGAAACCGAAACATCAACAGAAGGAGCTAAAACCTTAAGTGGAGAAACAACGTCAGACTCTTTAAATCTTCAAAGTAAATACACTTATTGCTATATATCAAATTGGTATCAACGGGTGTACATTTAAAAGATAACTGTATTGTTTTTGAAGCTAATGCAAATTAAACAAATCATTCAATTTTAACCACTATTTCGGAGTAAAATATTCATTATACAGATATTCCGCAAAATGATGTTATCTTCTTTGACATCTACACTTGATAAAGTCATAGGTATGATTCAGGTGTCAAACGTAAACTGCATCTGAATGTGATGAAGTTTGATAAAAAAAAAAGATTTCTAGGTGCAAAATGTGAGTTTTTGCTTATTATTGGAAAAATTAATTGTCAAACATTCCGGAACTCAAAATGTCGACTCCCTTAGTTACAGACAGTAAGAAAGAGAAACACATTCTGATTGTCATTTAATCAGAACCATTGATACATAATACTTGTATTATAATTGTATATTCAGATCTAACAATTTAAACTATGAGAACGACACCAATAACTAGCCTTTAAAAACCTGTTCGTGCAATTTTCATTGTTATTCAACGCAAAATAATTATCTAAGATACCGGGGACGATCTCATTCCATAAAGGCTCTCTCTTGTTTACTTATTGCACATCGAACTTATTAACCCGGTGTAGGTCTTTAAGTTGAGGTTCTATTAACTAAAAGTAAATCGGGAATGACTAATTAGACACGCCCTCTTAGAGTCAGAGGATCCAAAATAGGATCGGGAACAAAACAGCCAGCGAAATCCCATAATCTACAATTTCAGAGAATCAAAGTGCTTTTGGTTGATTATCTCCGATCAATAATCAGACGGTATTTGAGTGGAAATACAAACCTGTCTGAAACCGAATAATGTTGGCTGCAATAGGAATACATTTACAAAATAAGTTCATATCTCATTTACTTATCGTGGCCGTTATTGATTGTAAATTCGTGTCGTTTTATTTTTAGCATTCGTCTACCGTGAAGAAAAAGGGAAAAGGGGGTAAGGGGCAATAGCTTAACTTACGATTTTAATCATGGTTCAACTTTATTTAAGTACGGCTTACGTTTTACTTCTAGCCAACGCTCTATCTTATTAAAGTGTCACTTTAAAATTGTTATCATTTGCTTCAGGTCGTGAATAAGCATGACATATTTGTCACTGGACGTTAAGGGAGCAATTAGCTTCATTTAATTATGTATAATCATTAGTCTTCATTTGATAATTGTCTCAAACAGTTTTCCAATTTTTATATATTTGATTTTTTAAGTGTACATTTTACCATTTCTTGCCTCATTTTCTCTTTCCGTTTATTTCTTTTTAAACATTTAATAACGTAGTCCAAATCAGGGTTTACATTGTATCATACCCATCCAAACTAGGAAGAGGGGAGTGGTACAGAAAAAAAATCTCCATTGAGTGGCAATAACTCATATATTGAAGCGTAAAACGATAGCAGTCTCGTCAAAATTCGCTGTTTTAAGTTTTGTTTTATCTGGTATAGTTGTCATAATAGCATGAATGGATAAAAAAAATGTTTTAAAGGGCAACAATTTATATAAGGATTCAACTTATTTTGGCCGTTTCATTAATTTTTTAGATATAGTCTTACTGATCGGTTTTGTCATTTAAAAGTTTTCTTCATCTACAATTATTGTCTTTGCAAAAGGCGCAAAAGTTGTGTTGAAATCAACCATGCGACTTCTTTGAAGATTTAGCTGACGTTTGTTGTTGTTTAAAGATTCAATAATTTAACTTGTGCATAGATCGTATTTCCCACTCAAAGAGTTTTTCAAATGATTCTAAATTTAACGTTTAGATAGCCCTAAACCCTATACACAATACATCGGATATACGACATCTGTATTTCGACCGGACGTAGCTGCGTATTTATACATCCGAACAGCCAAACGGACGCACCCCTTTAGCAAGAATATACTGTCGGATTAGAAATGTCCAGAGATGTCAATATTTCTATATCCAAGTCAATCATTTGGTTTTGAATAAAAGGAGATAAAGGTAAACATTAATGCGACAGCTACCCAACGACACAGACAAATCAAAAACATCAAGAGTCAACTTACAGTATTTTGTAATAGAAAGATGCTTATACAAAATATACTCAAACCGCCCCATGACTAAAAAATACGGAGTTAATTTAATAATATTTACCGTCAAAGATAACCCAACAGGCACATTTGATTTAATATTATTTACCGTCTAAGATATCCCAACAGGCACAAGTGTGTGGTAGAAAATTATCACGTGTCCTTTTTTCAATTTCGATCAGTGGAAATTAAAGAAGGTGTAATATAAACCAGCAGAAGAAAAACACTTCACTATATAGTAACGGTAAAATACATGATGATATTGGATGGCTGCTTAACGTCTAGCGGCAAATTAAATGCATTTCAGGACGGAAATATGTAAATATAATATGAAAATTACCCCTGCTTTGTACTAGACTGAAACGCTGAGCGGGATTTTTAACGTGTAAGTTCACAAGGTAACAGTCCACAGGAACAAAAGTCACCCTATCCGAACACATTTCTGACTCCGAGCCGACCAATCTTTGCTCTTACTCTTAAATGCTGCGTGTTTAGCGTTGAAACAGCAAATACCAATTTCAACGTCTTTGTTTGAGCTGGTCGGGATTCGAACCAAAGACCTCCCGCTCTCGAGGCGAAAACGCTCCCACGAGACCAGCAAGGAGGTCGGTAGTATGGAATATCATATCAAAAACTCAAGTACAATAAACAATACAGTTTCACAGAATTATCACTGTTACCAAAGCAAGTAAAAAATACCTAATCTAAATTACAATGTAGATACGTTAAATGATGATGAAAACTACACGTAAATACCGATGGTCGACTTCAAAGAGGATTTCATGGATCAACGTTTTCTGTAAATTTAAAAACTCTTGCACCAATTATTTGAGGGGTCCGGATGTGGCCAGCTGTTGCAAGGCCAAATTTCTGTCCGTATCCAATAAATTCAAATTTTTCAGTGGTATTCCAAATTTCACGTCCAACCTCACTGTCGAACTCCTATTGCAAAAACTTCTTAATGTATTTAAAATTTATGTGTTCTCGTCATGATCATGCATGAAATATTTGGCACCGGACATAAAGCAAACAACAATCAATCAACTTCATAAATTATTCCATGTACATAGTACACGAAGACAAGATCTTGTACAATGCTATAATGTAAAATTTCCATTTAAATCACTCAATAATCATGCAATATTTGTATGTTTTTTTTTTATTCTTGCAATATACTTCATGACTGAACACTAATACATTTTTTTTAAATATTTTTTTACTATGGTTTTTACCTACTGTTTTATTAGGATTCATAATATATAATTATGTCAGGCCACGATTATAAAATTAAGAAAGGTGAACGTTTAGTTATCAAGGGGTTTATGCTTCATTTAGACGTGTAAAGGGAATAACAGACGACTAAAAAAGTGTTTGTTTTCATATGATACATTGTATTTCAATTTAAGAAATTCAATGTAGATCAACCTTGCGAAAATATCTCATCTACACACGTTTCGATCGAGCCACTCAAACCCACAGAACTTGATTCTAAAGATTTTACATTTATCTAGGCTATTCAGGCGGATACCCAGTTGAAATTAAACAAAAGAAATGGAACTTTTTCTTAGAGAAGGTAAAAAAATTAAATTGGTATATTTGAATTGTATACATCTGTTTCTATGGGCTTTAAAACTTTAATAAAGGTGCAGAATTTAGGATTTTATGCATCTTATACGTGTTTTTACTTAAATTATAGTATGGAGCTTCCAAATATTTGTAAACTTTAAAATTATAGACAAATATTCATAAAACAGTCGATTGCGATAGTTGCAAATACAAGTGGATCTTTTTAATGCATAAGCATATATTCCACCGACAAAAATTCCACAGAAAGATAATAGATTGATCTTTTTAAAGCATTAATTTACATCTCTGCCCCTGGTGACAGTTTTTTTGGAAAAAAATCCTAAAAATGGGCAATAATTTCATCGAAAAGAGAAAGTCGAGTGCATCTTTTTACGCTCGGGCGTGTTTGAGTTGACTATTCTTTCTTGAAAACGTATAAAGCAAAAATATTTGATACATCATCTCGCTTTAGATTCTTTTATTTTTATATATTTAGGTTACAGGTTGATTTCATAACGTTAAAAATTTACAGTACTCAAAAATGAAATATATGGGTCAAGTGAAATACCTTTCTAATGAGTCATAACAACAGAGTAGGTGTGTTCGAATAACACATTTTTACTAAAAGTACTTGACGACAGACCTTACAAGTGGATCTTAAAATTGCATAACTTCAAAAAAACTTCATTTTTTGTGTGTGTTATCTAGGGTTATTAGTCTTCAACTTCTTAAAATTTTTAGTCTGTCCTTCCACGAAATATTTAATTAGAATTTTTTTTAAATGTTTTTGAACTTTCGAAAATTTCACCTGACGACCGATTAGACAATAGTTTTAAGTTGACTAAATGCAGAAAAGTACATTAAATGATGCTCAATAGCTAATAGATACGTTTATCTTTTAAATACAACTGGCATATAAGGATCGTAATGGTGCTATGTGAATAAATTTATCGGTTTTCAAGAGCTAAATTTGCAGCGCGTCATCCCTACAATGGCTTCCATTTTTACGATTGTACAAATTAGCTGGCGTAATGGGGAGATAAATTTGACGAAGTAGAATCCTGACTGTATTTAAATACGATTTTATTCTTATTAAAAAAAAAAAAACAAAATACAAGATTTATCATTTAATTGGACTGAACTGAACAGACATTAATTATTTTGCATTTGCATGTTACGTAGTATAGGAACATTACAGAATCAAAACCCAAATGGACATTTACATGAATATTGTGAAGGACCTTATGCATCTAGGTCTGTTCGATTAGAAGTTGTGAAAAAAGCTGTTTGGATAACTAATTGTTGGAAGAATTTACTTACTGTTTTCGTCTGGTCTGTTTGAATCTATTTCATGATTACTGACAGATTAAAAACATCAAATATATATAACAAGAGGTTTTTGTGAAGAACATTCATTGGTCAGTTGTAAATGAGGTCTGTATAGGGTTTGGATTTACTCATTATAAAATAAAAAATCGTTATTTTGAAAAGTTGGAATTAAAAAAAATATAAATTTACTCCTTAATTTTATAAAACTATCCTATGGTGTTATTTTAACGATAAGAAAATTATTACAATTAAATAATTAAAAGATGCACTGCCATTTAATTGGTCCGTTTTCAATGCAATTAGGTAACTGTTATTTGTATATATCAGTCTGAGTACAGTATAACTATCATTTAAGTTAAATAAATTTAGACTCGTCCAATTCAGGGGAATAAGGCTTCTGCAAGTGTTTTTTTTTTTTTTTTTTTTTTTTTTTTTTTTTGCGTACTTTTCTTGTGTTTATGACGGTTTATAAGTCAAATAAAAGTTCAATGATAAAATAAATATTGACATTAAAAGACCTCACAAAAAGGGCTGTTCAAATCTCAACATCCCTTTTCGTTCGAAGGTCTTTTAATATCAATGTTAACTTATCATTGAACTTTTACTAGTACGTAAAATTATAGAAGCTATGTATAAAACTATTTTAATTGACTGTATGTCATTAATACTTAGATTTGAGAAAAATGTTAAACTGGATCTTTTTTGATGAAAAAAGTAAAATCGATTAGTTTATAACATCTTTCAAATGTAGGCAATTTCGGACCTCCGAGAAAAAAAAATTTCACTTTATAATCTCGAATTTGTATTATTACACTAATAGACATTTGTGGGTTTGGTAACTAATTTATGCACCTGTATCTCTTATTTCTAGACTTTTCAAAAGCAGATAAAGTGACACAAGTCCCGGATGAAGATTCCAATGCAAAAAGCCGAAAAACTGACAACGGTATGTAGACAGCAGAATTCACGTTCGTAGCAATGTTTAGAACAAGTGCTATTGTAGTTTGTAAAATATATGTTGTCAGTATTTAACCAGAAATCGTAATAACTGTTTAGCTTTATATTTCTTTGTTATATGTCTGATATACACCAAATTAGGAAATTCATTTCAGCATTAGGTAAGTTAAAAGACAATGAAATAGTGAATACGATTAATGCAACTTATATATCAATAATAACAAGTGGCACAGCAACAAAAGCCACGATACCATTCACGCATTTTTGAAACCAAACAATTTTTATAATTCAATCTGTCGAAGATTCAGTAATAAACACAATGAACTACAAGGAGGAATAATGACGTATTATTTGGTATTTTATATTGATTAGATAACAGAATGTCTTCAATCTTTGCAAACCTTTGTTAATTTTAATCCCCTCGCCCCCATCCCCCCCCCCCCCCCCCCCCCCCCCCAAAAAAAGATGAATGGTCGGTTCCTACTGAAAACCATTGTATTGATATGGTGTAATTTTAGAGTTCTATGTATGTCCCTGTTATGCAGACTACAGTAACATATAACAATAGTTAGGACAATACTTTTAAGATTTCTTTACAACGCAAAATTAGTGCATTTTTAACCAATATCATCCCATATTGGCCATTTTCTTTACATACTTTGCAATTGTTTCAGCTGCTAGTCAATCAGTCTAGTCAATTTCTGCGTGATCTAATTAAATCTGGGATGACATCTTCAAGTAATTGATGTGTATGATGATTCCCTTGAGTAAATTTCGGGGTTAGTACGTGATATTATATTTTGAGAGAGGTGAGATTTTGGAAATCAATAATGTTGACTAAAAAAAAATAGCATTTTCCAAAACAGGATAAAATTCATTTTATGTCTTATAAAATAAGGACAATGCAGGAAATTGTTGTACAAAAGTGATAATATATAGTTGATATTCCGGCGTGTCATTTGCTGTAGGATGAGTTGGTTTGGCTTGATCAAGGCAATTCAACATAATACATTTAATTTTTAATCAACAGGTGTCACTTCAAAAGAGATTATCATTTATCCAATTATTGGTGTTGTTGTTGTTATAAAAGAGGGACGAAAGATACCAGAGGGACAGTCAAACTCATAGATCGAAAACAAACCGACAACGCCATGGCCAAAAATAAAAAAACAAACAGACAAATAGTAGTACAGATGACTCAACATAGAAAACTAAAGACTAAGCAACACGAACCCCACCAAAAACTGGGGGTGATCTCAGGTGCTCCGGAAGGCTAAGCAGATCCTGCTCCACATGTGGCACCCGTCGTGTTGCTTATCCGGTAAATAGTCTAATTCGGTAGGTCACATTCGTGAAAAGGGAAGGGTATTGTAGTTACGACATAAGGAACATATCCGATATCATCTGTGAAACGGTTATTCCATAATGGTCAACCAACTCCTGATGGCGTCCATAAAATTTACGAAGGGATGATTTCAACTTATATGACTTATATGATAGGAAATATAAGCCCGGGAATATCGTATCAATTTGGAGATATATACTCCGTATGCTAGCGCTGCTGGAGTGTTGCCACATAGAAATGGAAAGTTCACAATTGGGAAGCTGAAATCATCTATAATTGGCACTGTAGTTTTGATGCTGGTATGCTGACGTCGACGGAAAACCATTCGCAGAACCTGACAAGCGAGTATCAACAGTGTCAGCCATATAAGATACCATTGAAGAACAAAGGGAGCTTACTTCAAATATGTACAATCCAAATTCAGAATATCTGGATCCAATTCATGAATTATCTATTCCTAGGACAGACCCAAAATATGTTTTTAGTGATCTTATGCGCAGAAACGGAGATACGAGTATAGCAGAATCAAATGTGACATCAACTGCGCAACCAGATATCGAGACAGTTCCTAAGTCCCCAAATGAACGTGATGGTTTACAATTCCTTTCGAATCCACTCAGAAATGGCGTCGTGGATAATTATTGGCCAAACGAAAACAGTGACAACAGTGACTACCTAAGACCCGTAAACTTCAACAACCGATAAGTCAGTTTTTACTTTAAGAAAGAAAGTGACTCATAGTGTTTAAACACGGTAACGATTGCAAATCAATTTGTTTAGACTGTAATAACGGAAAGGACAGTTCTTTTTATCATAATACATTATTAATTTTCGATCTGTACTAGGTACATGTTTTTTTTTCTCGTCGTCACATACTTAAATATCAATGGCAATTTACCAAACTCATTGTTAAACATGTTGCCATTTGGATTACTTAGTCATGGTATTCATTCGTTGAGTATTCTTTTGAACAAAACTTCTTTAGCCGTGACAATATATATCTAACCTGGAACTTGTATATATGTTTTTTTTTAATTTGGTTTGTGTTTGTGTTTAGTATCATAATCTTTAAATAACCCTTTTAATGTTTTAAGATATAAACATGTTAAAGTTAGAAACTAATATAAAGCATATTTTGTCATCATGCATGCTACTACCAAAATGGTTTTTCACAAATGCATTCATTTCTGTTTTGTTATGTAACGTATTTTAATAAAATAAGAAATATTATTATGTTCATAACTATTATATGCCTTTTTGGGATTGTTCAAAGCAATTTGATTATTACATGATTTTGTACGGTTAAAATATGTATTTTTTTTACATTAAAGGAGAGGCGAAAGATACCAGAAGGACAAAGTCATAAATTGAAACCAAACTGACAACTCCATGACTAAAAAAGAAAAAGGCAAACAGACAATAGTAAACAAAACACAACATAGAAAACTAAAGACTAAGCAACACGAACCCCACCAAAAACTGGGGATGATCTCAGGTGCTCCTGAAGGGTAAGCAGATCCTGCTCCACATGTGGCACCCGTCGTGTTGCTCATGTTAGTATAAACCCGGTAACAAGTCTTATTCCGTAGGTCACATTCGTGAAAAGGAGACGGGATTGTAGTTACATGAGGAACATATCCGCTATCATCTGCGAATTCCATAACGGTCAACCAACTCGTGATTGCGTCCGTAAAATTTACGAAGGGATGATTTCAACTGCACCATTTGGAACTATTGGTTTTATAGCTTCCTTGTGAGCGTCAATCCTCTATCAAGGAAATCATAATAGGAAATACAAACTCGGGAATATCGTATATACTCCATATGCAGGCGCTGCTGAAATGTACAATTACAGTAATTGGCATAAAGCTCCATATATTTCTGCCAAACCATGGTTTATCTGTATTAATTCTCTGTTTCTGGTATGTGTGATTTGAACTCGAATTTACTTGTGCCATTTATTTAAAAAATGGAGCTGTTAAACTTATGTCATTAAAAATTAAGAAGTAGATCAAAATGACATGAGTCCATAAACTCAATATTTCATTTGAATGACATGATGTTTTTTTGTTTTTGTTTTATAGTGATTAAGAATACAGCACAATTCTGACTGCTGCATTACTATTGTTTTAACATTTTAACCTGTTATATTAGTTTGTTTTGTTCACACATTGTTGTCAATATAATGGAATTTGATAAGAAATACTTTTCTATTCAGTAATTAATTACAAATTATTATGTAGAAAAAATGTATAAGTAATGGTCAGACAATAATTATATACATGATATATGAATGTTGATAAAATATAAAGTTTCCACTAATTGGATACAACCCAAATAGCAACATTAATTGAAAACAAATCAACACTACTCATACATTGGTATATATTGAAACTGACCAACAGTTCAATAAAAACTTATATCTATAATTCAGAAATCGGAGGTTGTCCAACGGCTTTTCGAAGATCTTCAATTACTGCAGTCCAAAATAAGTTTTCACCAATTCCCTTTGTATACCTCAGATGCGGGGTACTGTCTAGTAAAGTACGCAGAGGACTTGTCATGTTTTTCGATGTGATATTTTCAAGCATTACTAAGAGAAGTACATCTCTGCCTTGTCGACGTCTTCTCTCCTGAATTATATCCACTTCCCACTGACACCATTCGCTTTTAGCAAATGCATTTGATATTATAACAATAATCTTCCATGACCTTTTAAGGTATTTATCAACGTTTCCACTGATAGATTCTCCTACATCAAAGTCTCTGTGATATATACAAAACTTTAATCCCTCCTCATTTTCAAGTTTTTTAACGAAGACGTCATGAACCCATATTCGATTTTCATCACAATAAACAACAAAAGCATAATATTCATAATCATCGCTATTCAAAATGGGAAGATAACCCTGTCGTCTAAACTGTTTAACTTTAAGAAGGTAAACAAAGTTCTTAACATTTGTATTACATTTCAAAAAAATTATCATTGTCAATATTAACAAGCAAACTAATGCAGATATTGAAATCACAATAAAAAATATTGGGTTGCACGAATAAACGGAAGGTTTGTAATCTTTTAACAAAATTCCATTAAAATTATCTGGTGTAGTACAATAATAACGTTTTGGGTATTCTAAAAGCGTAATATGTGTTTGTCGTAACCAACTGGAAAACCATATTTGTTCACAAGTACACGCAAATTGATTTGTTGCTAAATCTATCTTTTTCAAATTTGCAAGTAACGCACTTGGAAAAGATGATTCGTTTACTATCTTTATTAAGTTTTGGCGTAGATCTAGAAATTGCAGAGATGTCACATGAGAAAACACATCTCTGTCCCATCCATATATTCGATTCCTGCGCATGATTAGCGTTTCAATGACTGGTAGTTCCGGCAATACGTTGTCGGGCAAATAGCCAAGCCTTGTGGCTTCCAAATTAAGATGTCTTAATTGTTTCAATTGTGATATTATCCTAGGCAAATTTTTTGAATCTAAAGAATTTCCGCAGAGATCAAGGACTTCTAAATTAATGCAGATTGACAGCAAGCTACTTTGCACCGACGGTGATAGACTCTCAAAATGGAAATGACAATCTCGAAAGGATAACACTTGCAATGACGGTATACTGAAAGCCCCACTTTCAATTTTTGTAGACTGAGATTAGTTAATTCTTTTAACTCTGAAAAAGTATTATTATGAATGCTACCGATTGAATTATTATTAAGTTTCAATGATTTAAGCCTAGGAAAACATCGAAATTGTCCGATATTTCCTACTTTATTTCCGCTTAGAGATAAATATGTTAAGTTTGGAAGTGCACTCTTATTGCCATGATTTAAACAAAACTTTGGAAATTTTGTTATTTCATTGCCGGCTAAATAAAGTACCGTCAGACTGAAAATGCTATATGGTACAATTGTTGCAATTTTATTGAAACTGACTTTCAGATTTTGCAAGTGAGGCATATTTGAAAACCATGAGAACTGTAACACATGAAGATTATTTCTGTTGAGGTTAATTTTACGAACTTTATTCGTGTTTATTGTCTTAAACATGTCTTCTGGAAGAGCTTTCCAATCGTTGCTTGATAGGTTGAGTGACTTTAGATGTACAGTTTTCATATTGGTCAATGCATTCATTACATCTGTTGCTAGCAATGATGGTTCGGATGAGATGGTCAATGACTTTACTTTCATGAAAGTAGAAAATGTATCAGGCTCAAGTCGAACTATGGTGTTGTTGATAAAACTAAGCTCAGAGATAACATTGAAAGTTAGGTTTGTAGTTCTTCCTTTTGATAGTGTTCCAATATTTCCATTTAGAAAAGTAACTTTTTGAATGTGTCTCGGAAAACGTGGAATATAAGTAAGATATTTACCAGAGCAGATAGCGTCAAGATTAGTACATTTACAAAACTCAATCGGACAATGTATTTCATCTGGTCTTGCGAAATGTATGATTACATTGAGCAATAAACATATATTTATAATTGCCATTACAATTCTGTGATAACAGTGACCTGAAGTAGAAAAAAAGAACACAAAATTAACCTGTCTCACATCCAGCTTGCAAACAACTTAGAAGAATCAAACGTAGTTCTTTTAAAAATTGTGGATACATTTATAATCTTCTGTAAATCCTGATATTCATAATCTTTCATGCCAAAAGGAATATACCTACTGTAACCCCCTTCAAACAAAAGAATATTTAAACCAACATATATTTGCTTTTGACTATGTACATTTTAGTAGAATAACGTTTTTCTATTTGTATACTTTCTGAAGGACCACCATTTATTTAATAGAAAAAAGAATGAATGAATGACGTGACCCATTCAATTACTGCATTAATGCATGCGCACATGTATTGTCTTAATCATTCATACAAAGTGATTTGTTGTATGATAATTTCGAGTATATGCATGCACGATTCGCGAATAGCGTCTGTGGTCCTCGAGGTTGAAATATTTGAAAATCCAAAAATTATTAAAAAAGTTATACGCTAAAAAACCAAAAAGGACAAACAGTATATCCAAAACCGGACTTTGACAATCGAAAAGTGGTGGTCCGAAGGTTTAAACAACCATATTTTTGCAAAGTTACGACAAAATTGTGTATCTTGCAAAAGAAATAATAGTGAGGAAGACCAAAAGGGGAAAAAGATTTCGAGAACTCTGGAACAAGGAATCAGATATTTGCATGAGGGGGATATATTCCTTAATTTGAATTACAAATTTTCATTGTTATTCAACGCAAAATTATTTTCTACGATAACTGGGACAATCTCGCTTCACAAAGGATCTCTCTTACTTAAATAACCTGTCATTCTGTTATTGTGCTATAGTCACATTTTGTATTCTTGTCTTTCGTTTTAATGTCTTTCTACTACGTTAGGAAATACCTTATTGTTTTTCTAATTTTTTAAGGTCTCTCCACTTCGTTAGGAAAGACCTTATTATTTTTCTAATGTGTTTCTTTTTCCAGCATTTTTTTTACATGCCCTCCCCTCGTTTCTATTGGAGCTATCAAGACCAAATTTGAACCACCAATAGACCGCATCATGAAGTATTAACATCATCCCCTTTAGAAGTTATCTCCTTTTTATCGTTTTTTTTTCGACATGCTCCCCTCGTTGTTTTTATAGATATCATGACCTTATTTGTACTATAGGTAGATCTCATCATGAGGTATTACTATATGAGGATGCGTAGGATTTCATCAACCCCTTTGAGAGTTATATCTCCTTGAAGCAATTTCTTTTATTTGCATTTTTCTTATATAGTATTAGAGATGGAATCGAATTGAAAATGTCAGCATGTACAAGGACAGATGGCAATGTTAACAAACATAAAAAAGTTATTATGTTATCAACCCTTATAAGGAGTTATTTTCCTTGAAAAGTTATTCACAATTTTTGAAAAATTATATTTTGCGAACCGGAAGTCGAAGAGACTTAGGACCTTCACCATTAATCTTTAGTTTATGTGACCTTTAATTTGCATCCAAGGTTAAAGGTCACCTAGTGCAAATTCAAGCTTACATATTAAGAAAACGATAAGAGAATGCTGCATACATTTAGTGTATACAATGTTCCTCTCGACGAGCTCTACATTTTATACATTATACATTAAGCTCAACATTGTCCGATCATCTGTTCGAAAATAACGACAAGATAATTCCTAAAAGTATTTTGTGTATATCTTTGAAGAGGTAACATATATCAACCTACTATAATTTGCAAAATTAATCAGTATTTCAATACCTTCAATTTGAGGTCAATGTCAAGGTCATGATGAAATTTTACCTTGACCTTCAAAGGGTACTATCACCTTGACCTTGTGACATTTGAAAGGTCAAGTGGTCTTAAGTTGAATGTTGGTAATCCCATGTCTCTACGACTTCCGGTTCTTAAGTTTGGTATTGCATTATATATTTGATTATTCATTGTGACCTTGATGATCTTTGGAATTGTCCCAATCTTTTTTTTTTCCATTTTTTTAAATGTTGTACTTCACCTGCAGATTATTTTTCACTTAGCAGATTGGAGTTATCTGTTGTAGTTTTAGAGATAATGCAGTTTGAAATTTTGCAAGCTGAGGCATGTATTTCTTAATCAACAACAGCTTACCACCTGCAACTTTCAGAAATTGAAGAGTTTAATATTGTTATATGTTTGACTTTTTACAAAAAACATTCAATGAAAAAACCCTAAAAAAATCATTATGAAATTTTCATCTTTTGATTTGACTTTGTAAGTTTCATAATTTCTAATTATACAATTGATATTGCATCTTTTTTGGCACTTTGCAAAATGGGGTCATTTGGTATATCAAATTGAAGGCCTAATTGAGTTCTACTCAAAAATGAAAAATTTAAACCCCATTTTCATCCCAGTCAGAAGGAAAGTTCATTAAGCGTTGTTTGTTATATTTAGATTAAAGATACTATTAAAAGTCAGGCTTGCAGTCCTTTCCTTAAATAATGTTCCAATATTTCCATTAAGAAAAGTAACATTTGTAACGTTTTTTGGAAAACGTGGAATTATAAGTTAGATTTTTACCAGAGCAGACGGTGACACAATCTGCACATTTACAAAACCCAACCGGGTAATGTATAACATCTTGTCTTGTGACATATATGAATAAACTGAGCAATGAACAAATATTGATAATTTTTGTTAAAATTCTGTGATATCAGTTACCTGAAGAAGAAAACATATAACATCAAAAGTGTGTTCAAATCTCTCTTAAAAATAGTAATGCTTACGACGACAAAGCTCGCCAAAAAGTACCACTGTAAAACCAATTGTCACAGGGAATAATGTTATTAGTTTATAACAAAAATACACTCTATACACTAGACTTTATGATATGAACATTTGGAATGTTAGTAATATTGATATGCAAATTATTTTGATACTATCAATACACTTTAAATTCTGTATTTGCTTAACATTAATGACTATGATTGTATACTGCATGTTTTGATGATGACAAACAATAAGAAAACATAGTTTTATTCTGTTAACTACAATTCCCCAATTTGAAAAGATTAATTATGTTTAAATTGTTACTGACTGCTAATGGTTTCACATAAAGAATGTAGTTTCAATTATTAAACTACTTTGTTAATCATAAATTATGACACATACTGTAATTAGAATATTGATACCGACAATTTATTTTATTTATCTTATATATACTTCCTCATTTACGTATATTGATATTTGAATAGTTTGATTAATCACATCTGAACCCGGCATGTAAAACATTGAATATGTCCTTATATCGTAGTAAGTGAAGCCTACATGTATTTAAATATTTGTGGAACCAAATGTTTAATACAAACAAAATAAAACGAAACCATATGATTGATCAACATTACATTCCTACCTTGATTTTATAGTTGTTCAGCCTTTTGAATGTATTACATATAATTGAAACAATTGTCAAAGATAAAAATGAAACGCATACTATATACTATACTTAATCATTCAAAAATATTCAACAAATAAGCAATTAAAAGTTTCTTTCATCGAACAAATTATTTTATATTTATTCATTTGGTAGCTTTTACTGGTTAGAAATTGCAACTTAGTCCCTTTAAATAACGGACGAAAAATGTTTTGTCCATTTACACGTACCATATGTACTATTTATTATCATTTTAAAAATATGCTTAATGACAGAAAACATCTTTGATCAACTTAATGTTTCAAAGAAGTGCTCTTTTGACTTTATTCTAATTAGACCTTACGATTTTTACATCCATACACGTATCACCTTGTTACAAATGTGAAGTAGGATATGTACTCCAAGTTTTCTCGTTACTTAATGATACTTTTCTATTCTGTATTTTGTATACCGTTTTTTTTTTTTTTGTCATTTTGGTCATTTTCTGTTTATTTCCGTGGCGTTTTCAGTTCGTTGGAAACCAATTTTTGAGGATTTCGTGGGTACAGGTGAACCAAGATTTAAACGTTTAACGTATAAATATTATCTACAGGCTTATATGTCGACTTTGGCAAAACCACGAAATTGAATATCCACAGACATGTACAAACATTTTTTATATAGATTAGACTGTTGGTTTTCCCGTTTGAATGGTTTTAGAATTATAGTCATTTTTTGGGGCCCTTCATAGC